CCCCCCCCCCCCCCCCCCTTCGGGGTTCAGCCTCCTTGTTGGCACATCCCGGTGTTTGGCTCTTATACCATTTGCAACAGCCCAAGCCCACCGCTGGCAAATATTGTCCTCTTTGGGCTTTCCATTTCGGGATTCCTCTCAAGGTTTTTTAAAACGCGTATGCTAGGTAAAGGTTTCCACATCCTTATAAATAATGATTCGTTCTCCTCTCCAACCGATGTGGGATCTCACAGTCCACCCCCTTCGAGCCCAGCGTCCTCGCTGGCACTCATTCCCCTCTCCAATCGAGGTGGGACCCCTCATCCACCTGGTGTCCACCCCCCTCCCCTTTTGGGGTTCAGCCTCCTTGCTAGCACATCCCGATGTCTAGCTCTTATACCATTTGCAACAGCCCAAGCCCACTGCCGGCAGATATTGTCCTCTTTGGGCTTTCCATTTCGGGATTCCCCTCAAGGTTTTTTAAAACGCGTATGCTAGGGAGAGGTTTCCACATCCTTATAAATAATGATTTGTTCCCCTCTCCAACCGGCGTGGGATCTCACAGTAGATATAAAACTAATTTAGGCACCTTAATGTAACAGGCAGATTCAGGGGGTTCTGCCTCAACTGCAAATCAGGCAATGAACTCAAGTCAACCTGGAGTTGAGCAGTTTGTAATGAAGATTCCTAATAATAAGGTAATTGCTTTCGTTGTGTTTTATCTACCCTTGAAGGTTAAACTAATTTTATGATAATAATTTTGTTTATAGGTTGCACTTGTCATCGGAAAGGGAGGTGAAACTATAAAGAGTATACAGAGCAAGTCGGTTGCACGCGTTCAGGTATTATTTAACTTGCGAGAACTGGAGACCATCAAACCGTTTCCAATTTTTTGCAGGCCAAATCATCTAAGAGTCTAAAATTAGCAAGCTTTAAGGCATATTACTGCTCCAATCTGTTTAGTTTTGTAACCTTGACTTGTCAGAATTGTTTACCGTCACATTATTCCGACATCTCAGCCCTTAATTCAATATTACATGGCTCTCTGCATCGTTCACATTATACTCTTAATACTCGATATGCTTCTGTTTCTTCATGTGGAACGCAAGACGTGACGTCTTGCCTCTTATATTTGTAAGGCTGTTATCCGAATCCAGAATGCTATTAATCATTTTCTTGTTCGGACTCCTACCCTACAGATTATCCCTTTGCACCTCCCTCCAGGAGATACTTCGACTGAGAGAACGGTTTATATTAATGGTCTGAAGGAGCAGATTGAGTCAGCCAAAGAATTGATTAACGAAGTAATAAATGGGGTAAGTCATCAGGTACCTGTACTGCCTTAGCATACTTTTGTATGGAATTATGATTTCCTAGAATTCTAAATGGAAGCATTAGGAAATAACATCTGAACTGTCAAATATCTTCATAGCTACGCCCCTAATATCTTCCTGGCTCCATTAATTTCTGCTGAGGTTTCTGTGGTGTTGATCAAACTATGCTTGATGTAATTTTCATGGCAAGTGTGTTCTAACATCTTGCTCATATGTT